CTCAAATCCTTTTATGTCAATAGATAAACATAGTTCCATGTACTGATAGCATAATGTTGGTATGAATATTGAAGTGATAAGCTGTCTCTTTGTGTCCATGGAGATGTTTGGATGAGATAGGAGGGGTGCGAGCTGGTAGGTGACAGCGGTGGTTTTTCAGTTCGCATTTTTGTTCTCGGTCTATGGACCCGTTATCAGAAAGTGCTGCCAAGATACTTCACCTCCTTCACCTGTTTTAGTTGAACATGGATGTTCAGGGGACATTGGTTTCGGCTCACTTTCATAACTTCTGTTTTTTGTGTGCTTATTTTCATGTCAAATTTCTCGTAGCTGTTGTTTAGTTCGGCAGTATGACTTTGGAGGCTTTGTTAGTTTGGATAAATGGTCGTTTTTAAGCATAAGGGGGCTATCCCGAAAACTGCTGTTTTGAGAAAATCGGAGGAAAAGTTTTTGCCCCTTGTTCAGTTTCTTTAAAAGACAAGGAGAGTTTTCTGTATAACCAAACAAATATAATAATGATATTAAATAGCATTTTTATAGCGCATGTCCCCACTCGAAAGCAAGCTCTATGTTCTTTACGCTATATTATTACCCCAGCAGACCATAGAACACTCAGAAACATTCTCAGCTTCCCGGAAAGCATGCAGTGCAAGCACCTGGTTAAGCGCTCAAACTCTAACAAACTGACAAGATATTTCACTGTCTATAGCTGGGTACCCATTCCCACCTGGGTGAAGTGAGGAAAATTCGTGTAAAGTGCCTTTCCCAAGGACACACGTCGAGCCCGCGGCTCGAACCCCCGAACCCTGCAACCTCACGATTATGAGTCCGGTAGCCTAACCACTAGGCCACCGAAGCCACAAATATACACACCAATGAAACCAGACTTCTCCTATAGGTAGGACAAAGCCCATTTTTGGGGAGGTCAAGATTTCTGGAAACCCCCGAAATCTGGGTTAGCCCGCTCGTCCTTAAAAGCGACCAAATAAGACATTGGCCAGAACAAATAAGGTAAAGAAATTATGTGTCCACCTCAGGGCATCAACTTGTCGGGCGGACAGAAGCAGCGGGTGTCCCTGGCCCGGGCGCTGTACAGCGATGCAGACATTTACCTGCTGGATGACCCGCTCAGCGCGGTGGACAGTCACGTGGGAAGACACATCTTTGACCAGGTCATCGGCCACACAGGCATGCTGGGACATAAGGTGACATTTTAGTATTATTATTATTTTATTTATAATTTATTTTTTTAGGTATTGTCAAAGATTCTCTACTAGTGATAGAGAGTTTTTGGCATTGTGGCCAACAAAAAGGAAGGCAGGTCAGAGAGAGAGGGGGGGGGGGGGGGGGGGGGGGGGGGGGGGGGGGGGGGGGGGGGGGGGGGGGGGGGGGGGGGGGGGGGGATAGAGAGAGAGAAAACGAGAGAGGGAAGGGGAGCGAGAGAGAGAGAAGGGGGGAGAAAGAAAGAGGGGAAAAGAGAGGGAGGGGGGAGGGAGAGAGATAAAGAGAGTCAGAAAGAGAGAGAGAAAGAGAGAGAGAGAGAGGGGGAGAGATAAAGAGAGAAAGAGGCAGACAGACAGACAGAGAGATAACTCCTTTTCCAACCTCTCTACTGGTGTGTAGATGTTTATAATAGTTACTTGTGTCCTCTTAAACTAGTTGAGCGCCATTTTTTCTACTGATCTGTTGAGGATATTTCAGAAGATGTATTTGCAGCACGTGTAGTTTCTTATTCTTGATAAATGGAAACATATTATCATCGCTTTGTTTAAAATGTCTTGTATGAAGGCCAACTCTGCAGCTCTGTTTTTAGTTTTAGTAAGAGTATTACTGCACTTGCAACACAATAAGGACATATTAGTGTTACAAGAGAGTAACAAACGCGAAAAGAAGGAGTGGTAAGGACGATAGATATTTGATAGGAAAGAAGGAGCTGACCACACCAGAGCACCCGCCAATCACCCACTTAAAAACAACAACAACAATAACAACACAACAAGAAAAGCAACAACAACAACAACAACAACAACAACAACAATAAAACTTTTTTTAAACATGGTTGTTCTATTGCAGTTTGTCTGTTCGATATCTCCTGTTCCAACCTCTTTACTGATATGTAGACGTAGTTGAGTGCCATTTTTTCCAACTGATCTGTTGATGATATTTTACAAGAGGTATTTGCAGCATGTGTAGTTTCTTATTTTTGATAAGTGGAAACATATCATCGCTTTGTTTAAAATGTCTTGAATGAAGGCCAACTCCGCAGCTCTGCCAACTGTTTGTTTTAGTAGAGGTTTTACGGCGCTCGCAACTGCATAAGGTCATATGAGCGCCAAGGGGTGGATGTCAACAGAGAAGTCCAAACGGGTAATCAGGCTTACTCTGCTCACCTCTCTAACCTCAACAGTACAAAGTCTGCTTCGACTATCAAGGTACCCCGGAAATAGCAGTTCACAAGAGAATGGCAAGCATACAAAAGAAATAGAGGAAAATTGGCGACAGTAAGGATGAGGGAAAAAAAATAGCATTTCCCCCTATGTTTTTCCGGCACCGAATGAGCATGACATTGATAAATCAGCCCATTTACAGTTCTGTTGTGCATAAGAACATGTTAAAATTCCCCCTTTTGGAATAACCTAAAGACACTGCAGTCAGTAGCACTGCCC